CGTTGCGGGTTCGATAAAGCACGATTCTGCCGACAATAGGAGCCAGCGTTCTTCGGCCGTTGCACGTGCCATCACGAGAAGCTCGCAATTTCGCGGACGATGTCAGCATGCAAATGTAATGCTTTATCGCGAGTCACGCGCAATTAACGTATAATTCACGTTGCAGTTTTCCAATTTGACTCGCGAGAAAGTTGCACGGCGGTGTAACTCGCGTGAAAATGCCGCTCAGAGCCCGCACAATTTGCATTGTAATTTAGCGGCTGCGGCGGTGCATTCATCATTTGACCGGCTAAATCATTTGGTTACCGAAGTAGCAGCGGTGGTTCGTATTTGGAGCGCTTAAGCGCGCGTATGCAGGCCGTTTCTGAACTGTCGCATCAATCTCCCGCTGTGATATTCTTTATGAGCGAATACTATTACCAATGAAAGATAAACAAAGTACTCGTAAATCGTTACGTATATATTTATATTATTATTGTATATATTTTTTTTATACATAATTAATTGCACCAAGCACAAAAATATATTGCAGAAAGTAAAAAATAATAGATGAAATATGTGAAAAAATTGATAAATAACTGTCTTGATAGAAAACAAAGGAACATTCGAGTTTATTAACAGCTCCAACTGTATTACGGCTCAGCCTTAATTATGCTAGATTACTTAATGACTATCAAGCGCCGGTTCGTTACAATAGAGTACGGCGTACAACTTTATTATTGACGGCGTGGGATGCGCACTCTTAGTCGGTACTTTAGGCAAGAATATAGAATGCGAAGCCGCGCGTGCATCGATAAATCGGCTCGGGGAAAATCGAGAGAATTTAATGAGCCGTGCGGGCTTTACTACCTTGCGGCTTTATTACCACTCTATAATTTAACGTGCATTGATTTCTTGTCGTTGCGAGAGAAGCTAAGTACGATAATTCATTAAACTTGGCCGCTTCTTGACAACAAGAATCTGTTGAATCTATTATCTTTCTTTCATTCGCGTCCAATCATCTTTGAGTTAACTGTGCATTCATAATTATTACGGGGATATAATTATCACTCCAACAACACGACAATCCCGCGTAAGCTACACTTAATTTCTATATTTCATATAAAATTACACTACACGCGGATTTTTCGCAAATAATTATATTCCTCATCAATCTTGTTGCGAATATCATATGAAGAGATTTTGCCATTGTGCGAGTTTTAAAAATTAAACTTGCTAGAGTAAGGTAATTATCTTTTTACGAAAAATAGCTTGAGGATTACGCTCGACTCGCGTGAAATTATATTATTGTTGCGCGTTTCAGCGAAATACTGCTTTTTCTGCCTTTATGCGGTATAAACTCGAGCATATTTTGCACATAATTTTGCATTTTGGATTTTTAATTTAAACGGCTTTATCTCTCGCTTCTCGTATCTTACGTATCATCTGCTTTATGAATATTAATGATAATATATCGGGACGCCAACTGCGCGATACCTGGTTATTCCAGCCCTCGCTTCAATTAAACGAAAAGTCCATTGATTATCACGGCGGAATCTAGACGGAAACTTTGCCGGCTTATAAGGATTCTCTCGCCGAGAGCTTAGCTATATAATGAAGTGGGTGACCGAGAAACTTTTCGGCTATACAGAAGGCCCGCCCCGGCGCGGCGTATGAGCACGGCCGCATCGCGGCCGGCTCGCGAGACCTCGGAATAAATTGACCGACGTCGCCAATGGTGGTTGTTTATTTTCGAAATTAAATTGAATTGGCCCATAACTTGCCGGTCTATTAGCCCTGGGGACCGGGCTAGTTTGCTCGTAAATCTCCGGAGTATCGGACCGGTGGCACATACGCACACACAGAGGTCCACCGCTCGTGCGTGTGCGTGGAAGCGGCGTATGCGGCTGGCTGTGTGTGTGTGTGTGTGTGTGTGTGTGTGTGTGTATGTGTGCGGATTCGCGGACAGAACGGACGGCGGGGTGTCGCGGGGTGTGTGGGTATTCGATTCGCCCCCGACAATGCGTCCGGAAGCTCCCAGGAAATACATGGGCGTGGTGCCGAGATAAATGTACTCTCGCATTTGCATACTTCTCGCCCTCACGGTTCCCATATCCTCCCGGCGTCGCTCGGTCCTCCACTTAGATCTTATCCGCACTTGTCTGCCTTCTCTCGCTTCCTTACCTTTTTCCTCCCCTTTTCTCTCTCTCTCTCTCTCTCTCTGTCCCTTGCTTCCACCACGTGTATCTTGCCGATCATACATTAGAGGATTGGAATATCGGACACGCGCGTATACGACCGGAAGCGAGAACGATAACATCCGCGACAAATGCGGCACATACAGAATATCAATTGTCATTTTTATGTTTGGAGGGAAAATTATTTATCTATGCGAAACGATCCGCTTTGCTTTGAAAAAAAATATTAACATTTTCTCGCGTATTTTTAAACGCGTGCTCGTAGAATCGATCGTGGTGCAGAGTGCGAAAGAAGAGCGATTCCTGGAACGACGATATTGATCACTGATCATGGAAATCATAGTGAAATGTTCCGAATGATTGAAATAGTTCGACGATAGCAGCAACGGTTAGATCGCTGGGTAGCGAGAGGCACCTCTTTCGCGAGACAAATGCGAACCGACGATAAACCACCCACGGTATTCCCGCGAGATGCTCCTTTCGGGCGGCGGGATGGATTTATTCATCCTGCTCGACTACTCGCTTGATTATCAGAACGAATCGAGTACGTTCTGTCGTTCTCCTGCAAGTGTATTTGTCGGGAATATTGATGTTGATACGTATTTCGAATAATTTATCGAAGCCTAAAATAAATGTTCCCATTTATCTGTCTGTCTGTCCGTCGTCTAACCAGTCCGAAAGACGCGTGGATGGTAAATCATCTTTGAAATCACCGCCGATACAATGATGACGAACAAATTATTGACACCGAATGAGATTCATACCGTTGACAGATGTATTTAATCGAAGAGATAAAGAAGGAAGGAAGGAGAAAGAGCGTGTAGTAATTAATCTGTCAGATGCATAACTGTACAAAGTCAACAATTTTGTTTTCTTTTATATAGCAATCTAACTAATTAGTACCAGGCGTTTAAATTCAGTTGTGAACAGATTTAATTACTGACACTAATTACCTTTTAATTTATCATTAACTGTCAGTTTAATCTTCGGATTTCGCTCGAAAACACGTTTCGCGCTTTTATTTTTCACCGAGCAAAAAAAAAAAAAAAAAACGAAGAATGATTTCGATAACAAAATATATTGGTAAAAAATTATGTGGAACACGAAAAAATATTTTCTCAATACAATAATATTATTATTTACGATATCTCTCGCTAACGTGATTTATTATTCATATTAGCCGATCGATGAAAATGATAGAGCCAATTTTAATTCATTTCGAAAAGAAAGGAAAGTGACAAACGACTGTTTACAAGAATCACTTTCCTTCGGAATCGTTACGGCGGCTCGTCCTCGAGCTACATCGAAAGAAGACTATCGAGAAACTAGGAGACACGGTGCTGCACTCGAACTCGTAGCTGCAGTCCGATTAAAGTGTTCCAGCACGTTTCGTACTTCGTTCTTGTTTCAGCTTGCACCTGTCACCCCTTACCCCGATTTTCTCTAACCCCCTTCGCTGTTTGCGTCTGTGTTTTTCCGCCTCGCTTGTTCTCCACTTTCTCCCCCCTCCACTTCCCCCAACCCTCTCTCTCTCTTTCTCCTTCTTTTCCTCTTTATGTCCCTCCGTCGCGATGTACATACCCTGCTTGTTTTCTCCGATATCGCAACTACTCGGCGAGTTCGACGCCGACGATTGTTAAACTCGCTCCGGGCGGCCCTCGAAAAGTTTCGCGCTAGGCAATGTATACGATGTCGCATTCTTTGGCCTTAACGATCAAACTTATCCCAGGCAACGCTTCGACAACTATGCGAAAGACGACAAGAGAGCGCTAACATTGGCGATTGGTAGGTTCTCGAACTATTGTAACGGTGTTGTTCGGTTAAAGTGATCGATGAAATGTTTTCTATTAGAATGTTTAACGCGTGTCGCATGGCCGAGAGATAGCCAATGTTTTCCGTCAATATTTACCTTCGATTTGGTTTCGACATTAATTGTTTCCGAGCTTCCAGAATTAATGTATATACGTATAATATATGTATTATTGATTTATTCGACTGATTGCATTTTTAATTTGTTTGTTTTGATTAATGTTTAATTCAATTGTAAAATTAAATTTTATCAAAGATCTAAAGATAATTGCAATATAAAAAAGTAGAATCCTTTTATTACATTTATTTTAATTTATATATATATATTTTTTTTTTTTTACTTTTTAATATGCATACTTTTATTGAAATATACATTTTTTGCCATTATTTACACATTAATATCAATGTAAAGTTTCTCATTTCTCATTCACTTTTTTTACGCGATGCTTATATGAAGAAAATAACAAGGACTAAGCACTTTTAAAATAGACAGAGTAAACATTATGGACTCATCAAATACGACACGTTGTAATTTGCACTTGTTATGTAACACTGTTGTCATGAGAAATTATTGAAATGAAGCGAATGAAGCGTTACGCAAAATAGAATACATAATCATGCATTCTACGAAAACTATTTTCTTTGACGTTATTTCTTCACAGCGTTGAAACATAAATCTATACATAAATATATCTATATATAAATTTATCCAATTACTAAATGTAGATTAAAGTTCCGCGAGAAAATAGATTTGCGATACAACATGAGAACGTGATAAGATTCTGTCATCACATTTCTATAGTAAATCATTTACAAGTGAGTCTTATTGTCGTAATGCTTGAAATTTTGGAGACCTAAATATCAAATTAAAAATGTAACTATAATTTATTTATTAAAGTTAAAACTGATTAAAACTATTCGGGAGATAAAACAGTCAGTTTCGAAACAACTTCTAATAAAATGAGAATATATATAAACTGACGGGTTAATTTCAAGAAAAAAGTTTTTAGAAAATTTTTATATCACATTTGTAGTAATATATTTTTGCAGCTTTTATTATTTTCGTTGATTACATTAGTTTTTTGTAATACATCTTTAATTTGTTGGAGTATTATTAGGATTTAACTATCGCGCGCAAAATGTGCAAAACATACATGATTAATTGCATTTCGCATCTATAATCACAATTGCAATTTTTCTTTATAAAGAATTGTAAAGAATATTACGATTGCATTTATTGTGGAAATAATGTAATGAATACAAGATTGTGCACAAATTTTTTTATATGGCTATTGTATTTTATTTCTGCAAAATATAATATTTTTCGTGCGAATACACGCAATATAATTATAAAAGAATCAATATTATTGTAGTTTGTGATGCTTTGTTCCTCTGGCTCGCGAATTTAATACTCTTTATACAAATATAAGAGGTCAGTCAACTGCACGGACCTCGGACACTATGTATGAGTGAACTCCATGATAAAGCGTGCCATTAGATAAAATACCCCGTCTGTAGCTTGGAAAAATATATGGAAATGATAAAGTTATTCTGAACGCGCGCGAGCGCTTCTTTATTTGAAAGGCAGATCCGGACTTGCACGGACGAAAGAATAATTTCACCAATGTGCACCGCCGTAATACTACCGCCTGTTTTGAGTGTCACGCATACAAGCGAGCTCTGCTTTTAACTCATTCCTTATCCACGTTATTTCATTTCCGCGATATTTACACATAGTCTCTCCGCAAAATCCACCAAATATGCCTCACAATTTTTGCGACCGGTTCAACTTATACAATCTTACCCAGTAAAAATTATGCATGAGTGCACAAATATAAATACTAACGTGTAAAATTTGTATAAAGAAATGCGTACACATTTCTTATGAATAAATAGAAATTATATAAGAAAATATCATTCTTTTCTGAGATAATACTTTTTACAACATTCAATAATAAGGAAAAATATCATACGTTCACTCATAATTAATTGGAAAAGTCGATTTATCGATTTAAATGAAATTCGTGATGTTAAAAGTGATGCTGTTGGAAACGGCGCAATCTCAAATAATATTAATAAATCCATCTGGTTGTTATAACATATTTCTCTAATTACAATATGCATTTCTCGCATGTAAATAATCTTTCAATTTATAATTTATATAATAATGACTATAATTAATATAAATCCATATATTATCTAAGTCAGTGCTCGGAATTACTTCAGCTTTTCAGCCGATTCTCGCGGCACACGCCTCCTTCTTTCCTCTCCTTATCGCACACGACGCAGCCGCTTGGAGCGCCGCCGAGCGTTAGGAGCGGCGCTATCCGATTAATAGTTAAAAAATGTATTTAAAATATTTTTTTCCTCAATAGCAATAGTACTTCATGGGTGACGTGAAAATCTATTGAAATATTTCCACATAATAAATTTAAAAATGAAAAAAATATTTTTAATTAATTTTTTTAATTTTTAATGATCAAGGAAGAAGAACCCAACATTAATCGGACAGCACCGCTCCTAACGCTCGGCGGCGCTGGCTCGAGCGGCTGCGGCGCGCGCGGTAAGGAGAGCAAAGGAGGCGTGTGCCGCGAGAATCGGCTGCAAAGCTGAAGTAATTCCGAGCACTGATCTAAGTAGTATTACGCGGTTTATAGGACATGTTGCAAGCATCCAAGATCCTTCAGATGCAGTAACAGATTACCTAATATCTCGGATATTTCGTCGCCGCCGGCCACTTTAAAGTATTTCGCGATTTCTGTGTGATCAACATCTTTTGCTGTTTCCTCAAACTTGATGTGTCCTAGTAACGTCGGCAAGTAAAAAGTTATGATAAGAAAGCCGAAAAGAGCACCTCTTTTATAATCGTCCAGCAAAGCATCGTACGAATATTTCTCGATGTCCCGAACGCCAGCCTCTAATAAATACTGCTCGAGCGCGCCGTGATAGGCTCGCATGATTTCGAAAAACTTATCCTTCCTCACTTCAGTCGGACAAGAGACGCAGAGATAAGTAGAAAGATCGATGACAGGCGTCCCGTATCTCAGAAGAGCGAAATCGATCAGCATCGCTCGGTATTCTCCGTCATCTTCCTTCTTGAAGAGAACGTTGGCCAGCGTAAAGTCGCCGTGACACAGCGTGGACAAGGGTTCCAGCGGCTCCACCGTTTTCATCATTACTTCATCGAACGCGTTCGAAAGTAAACTCTCCATCTTGTCGCAGAAAATCGCGTCGTGGCCGCGATCACGAAGATAATCCACTGCTCGCGTCGCGGTTGTATCGACTAAGAATTTATAACTGTCGTACTCTCTGTCATACCTGGCTTCTTGAATTTGTTCCACAATATCGAAGAACTTTTCCCGCTGCTGTTGCTTCATGGCGTAACCTTTGCCGTGAAACCGTCCTATTTCGCGCACCGCCGCTAATGTGTACTCCAAAGGAGGATCGCACTTGCACGGGCAGGAATGGTACTTTCGTTTGCTGACGTTCTCCAGAGCGATTACCGAGTCAATAGGCGGTCGTTCGTCTGCGTAGAAGCATTTCGCAAAGTTTTCGTCCGGTTGAGCATACATTCGGTAAAACAGGATCTCGTTATGAAACTGTGGGTCGACGCGAGCTAACTGCTTTATAGCCTCCATCTGCGTAGGTCTCTTCAGTATCATAGAAAGTTCCTCGTCCTGGCCTTTCTTGTTTTTAAACTTCACAGACATATAGTACAGAGTGGAGATGTAAATGTCGGTCGAACTGGTTATCTCGTATCGCACGTCGTCGATATTCGGTCCGAGATTTTCGATAACTTTTGATATCACCGTTTTGGCCGTTTTATTCACTTTGGCCCATTTCTGAAACTCCTTTTCAGACATTTTGACTTATAACGTGCGACTTGTAATATAATTTTTTGACTGTCACCGTGAACGCGAAGCGTGAGATAAGTGAGCTTGTTATCGCGATTATCACTTGAACGATACTGACTGCGTTACTGACTATGCGTAGTGAACTTTGCGCAGAGCGTGACTGCAAATGATTTCATCTTCTGCTGTGAGAAGCGTCAATGTGCATCGTCATGAAGACGTAAAGAGTGGGGATGATATATTAATACGCCGCAATACTGCAGAACCAGCTCAATCACGTATGTCAACACGATATGCAATTACGCGACGAAACAGTGTTATTGACTCATAACCGCATTTGAAAAGATCAATAACCGCAACTGGCTAATGCAAAATACTGTGCGCAAGAGAAAGTTGCTGTGTGACAGTAAAACGTTCGAAATCATATTAACAATAACTCAATTTATAAAATCACCAATTATCGTTCCGAATAAATTGTCAAGTAATGTCTTATTTTAAGAAAATAGCTTAATTTTAAAAGAGATAAGGTAAAAAGAGATGAAAAGTTTTATAAAACAGTAAGAAATAGAACGTAATTACACAAATGGAAGATATAAAAATAAAAATACATATTTTGTTACTTAATTTTTTAAATTGCTAGCGATATTTATAAACGCCTCAGGCGTTACTCATTGTCAAATATAATTCAAGGTTCCTCAATTAGTCGATAAAAATTCACTTTGGTTCACCTTGGTTCATCTCGGATATCGCCGTATCTCTTGATAATATAATATCTAATCTTATAGCAAAAAATGAATGATCATTATGTAATTGCAACAGAAATTTTTTTTTTTTTGACTTCTTAATAGAGATAGCAGATATATCACATTTAACGACTTCACTATTTCCGGAATAAAAACGTCTGAGAGAGAACTTCAACAGAGACAAATATCTTTTATGCGCTTCACTTTGGAGGATTAAACGGTTCATCTCCGTAGTCTCTCTTTGGTCTCTAACATTCACATAGGTGCAAAAAAGCAGAGTCACGAAAGACGGTTTCGCGAACAATACGATGAAATGCGACCATTCGAAGAAAGCTGGAATGAAGAAAGTGGGTGAAATACCGAATTGTACGAAGAGTAACGAGTTGGTAAGGAAAGTGCGAGAAACTTAGTCGAAAAAAAGACAGTCTTACAACGAGATTGTTTCCTTGGCTTAAGACGAAATTAACAAAAAGCGTGGAAACTTGACGCGTATGGCGCCTAATAAATATTTTCAATAATTCAATAATTTTTAAAGGATTTTTTTAAATTTATTAGTTTAAAAAAAGTATATAAATTACGATTACAAGTGCGAAATATATCACGAAGTACCATAAAAGCATTAGTGAATCTACATAGCATCAAACTCCATTCACTGAATCCGAGAATCTCAATGAGTTCTCGACTTTCATTAATAAGGAGCACAAAGAGTGGCACATCAATGTACTACGGAAAATATATGTCAACACGATATGCAATTATGCGAGGAAGCAATCCTTGTTATTGACTCTGTAGTTGCATCTGGAAGGATCAATAACCGCAACCGATATAAAATTGCCTGAGGTCGGAAAAAATTATCGACATTTAAGAGTGCGAAATTGTGTCAACAATTATAACACAGATAATAAAATCGTCGATTTGTCGAGTGCGTCATCCATATCTATATCAAGATTGCTAAAAATATATTTTTGTTTTCCAAAAGTTTTACAAATTTATCACATGAGATTGAAAATCCAATTGAGAATTAAAATAAAAATGGCATAAATTATTCGTAAATTAATAGAAAAGCATTCACACGTATAACAAAATCGATTTTAAACCGCAGAAGCATTTGAAAGCATAAATTGCAAAACACAGTACAGTACGTATACAAAGTGTTTCATAATGTTTGTGCGAACGCTCGTGTGTGGGTGGAGTGCGGTAAACTGAATAGAAAAGTCCTTTATCGTTTTGCAATTTTTACAATAATAATTGAGATATTAATTAAAAAGGATTGACGAATAATCACGCGTTGCGCACGGCTGGACCACGGGCTGTACACGGGCTCTAGGCGTGACAGCGAACGAAGATCGCGCGCAACGAAAAATAACCAGGCATGGCGAGAGCAGGTGTAATACACGTTGTTATTTTTTGTTGCCGTGCGAGCCTCATTGCTGTCACGTCTACAGCATACGATCTAGCCACGTGCAACGCGCGATTATTCGCCAATCCTTTTTAATTAATATCTGAATTATTATTGCGTAAATTGCAAAACGGTAAAGGACTTTTCTACTCAGTTTACCGCACTCTACCCGAGCGTTGGCGCGGATATTACGAAACACCCTGTAGATCTATAGTATACAGATTTAAAAGAAAATCATGCATTGCGGTACTGTGTATACAATATAAGTTTACTGTAAATAAGTCACAACGATAAATAAACAAGAAAACTGGATGGATACATGACTATTGTTGAGTAGAAAACTTGAAAAATAAGATAAGAAAACATTTTTAACAATATGTATTTATCATTTGTATAAAAAGAAATAGTTCTTTATTTATTTGTTTATTCCTGGCACGTCATTTAAAAATCTTTTTCGACTTATGTGGAGACTTGTACTTTATGCGTTACATCAATTATTGAATAATATTACGTTGTTGTAAAAATTGTTTTAAACAACCGAAATCTCTCAATTCCAATAATAAGTCGGCCAGTTTCTTGGTCGTTTCATCACCGCCAGTCTGCTTGTACTCTTCCGCAGTCTCTTGGGTGAATACATTTTCCAGAAATTGCGTATCGAAATTGAACTCACCGAATAATATCGGAAAGAATAAGACCGCGATAACATAACCGAAAAGGCTATCTCTTCTATAATCATCAACTAAAGCGTCATACGAGTACTTCTCGATGTCTTGAATCCCAGCACCGAGCAGATAATTTTTAAGTGCATCGTGATAGGCTAGCATAACTTCGGAAAATTTCTCTCTCCTCACTTCGTTCGAGCAAAAGACGCAGAGATACGTGGCAAGATCCATAACAGATTTTCCGCATTTTAAATGCGCAAAGTCGATCAATATCGCTCGGTATCGTCCATTGTTTTCCGCTTTGAACAGTATGTTGCTTAGCGCAAAGTCGCCGTGACACAGCGTGGACAGAGGTTCCTGCGGCTCAATCGCTTTTCTCGTCATTCTGTCATACACGTACGAGAGTACACTTTGTACATCTTGTCACAAAAGGCCGCATCGCAGCCACGAAGATATTCCAACGGTCGTGTCGCGATTTTATTGAGAAACATCCTTCAAGGGCTCGTTGCACTGTATCTGACTTCTTGTGTGCGTGCCGCGACATCAAAGAACTTTTCTCGCTGCAGTTCATGACATAACCTTTACCTTCGACCTAACTCACGCATCGCCGCCAATGTGTATTCCAAAGGAGGATCGTACGCGTACGGGCAAGGATGGCATCCTCGTTTGGTGGTGTTTTCCAAGGCGATCACCGAATTGGCAGGCGGCTGTTCGTCAGCATAAAAGCATCTCGTGAAGTTCTCATCCGGCCGAACGTACATCCGGTAGAATAATATCTCGTTGAATTGAGCGCCACTGTTAGTCATCTTTCTCGCGATCTCTAACTGCACGGGTCTCTTCAATATTATAGAAAGTTCTTCACTCCGGTTCTTCGTTTTATTTTTAAATTGCAAACTCACGTAATACAACTGAGACTCACGATAGCCGACAGATGTGTCTAGATCATATTGAACTTCGTCGAGGTTTGGTCCGAGATTTTCAATAACTTTTGACATCGTCTCTTTAATCCATTGTTGAAGATTTTCCGCGTCGGACATTTTAATTGCTCGGAATGTCGATTGCCTTGTTGACTCGTCGTGTCCGTTTAACGTACGTCCGTAACTCATTAAGTTGCCACTATTGTAGCTCGAACGATATTATGGCTAAAATGTTTAATGACCTTCATCTAACATGACTCATCTGTTGGCGTCGTGGACAGAAACGAATTACGTAAGTGACGATAGTTTTGTGAGTTTCGCTTGTACAGAATACTAAAGTAATCATCTGTTTCACAAGATAAAATAAAATGCAAAACAATGCTCTAAAATTATGAAAATATTATAGAAAATATATATATTTACATTATGCTACAATTAATTTAATCGTTTGCAGGTTTTAATTTTATTTTAAGACTTATTGTGCATCCATTGATTTTTCACTTAATTCACACATTATTATTATCATTGAAGAGCAGGAACATTTTTTATAAAACTATTTAAATTTTATTTAAATATATAATTATATTACTTACTTTAGGAGCACCGTGTATCGTAGCGTTTTGGGCGTAAAAAAACTAATGATTATATAAGGAATTAAAAAAAAGTGTTAAGTATTATATCAACGACTACATTCCTGATTGATGAAATCAGCAAGCAAGTCCAAAGCAACTACGCCACAAAATATTCGTTTTAAAAATCAAAACAAGAAAACAGGTTTATTATATATTTGTTTACCATTCAAAATTAAAAATTTGTTTCTAAAAATTTTAAATGTATTATTTTTCTTCTTTATATCTGTTGTAATATATCTTCATATTTTTCTCAGTATTTTTATTCTATTATAATAAAAGAGTAAATGTTATTGATAGAAGAAATATTATTTTACCAATTATTTATAAATAATATTACCACTTGTATATGGAATCGATTGATCCGATGTGTTTGAGGACTATATTTTTATCTGATTGCGCAATTTAAAATATGCAATAAAATAGACAATAACCGTTTTGTAGAAAAACATTTTAAAATGCAAACTGCAAGTACGAAAATTCTTAAATAGTATTTTATTTTTATAATACACGTAAATAATGGATGCCGTATAGCATTGAGTCATGCCAATAAAAGATCAATAAAGGGGGGAATCACATGAGCCCCAGTTTATGTTCACCTAAAAATATATACTCTTATGCAAAGATCGTTATCTCAAGCCTTTTTACGTCATGTTATTTTTTATAATGTAAAATGTAATTTCAATTT